TAAGAGGTATATGGAGCAAAAGAATATGATTATGAAGGAAAGAATCCTTTTTAATAGTCATGGAAGTTAAAAGGATTTTCCTTTAGAAAGAGGCATAATTCACCTCTTTACACTTAGTCATCAACATTTTAGTAAATATTTCATTGTAAATAAATGTTTATTCTAAATATTGGTATACATTAATTATATAGAAATTAATGTAGAAAATATTCTTTCCTTCTATCTTGTGCTTTTCAATTAAATTTAGAAATACTTTTCAGTATATCACTGCTAAATGAGCAATTTGGATTATACACATGTATGTACTTACTTATTTTTATCAAAAACTATGCAGCTGAGGGTAGAATAATCTATACATACATATTTAACCATGTATACCTGATGTTCGTAAAGCCATAAAGAAAAAGTATTATAAAATATCATTCTCAGCATGCAAAGTGGGAGAAAAAGCCTGAAACCCTTAATCAGTTGTAAAACTTTGATAGCTTTGCAAATCAGTTCTGTTCAGTAGTAATGGGTCCATTTCTTATATGAGGCTTACAAGGTAGAATTTACATATTGCTGGGACAAATGCCAAGTGATAAATATGATATATGATGATCTTACTGACCTCTTGAGAAAATACTTTACACTGCTTGTGAGAGCATCCAACAGAATTTTTTAACATTAATATCATTTTTAATTTTAAAGCAGGATACACATATATTAATTATTGCTGCTGCTGCTGCTGCTAAGTCACATCAGTTGTGTCTGACTCTGTGCTATCTCATAGACTGCAGCCCACTAGGCTCCACCATCCCTGGGATTCTCCAGGCAAGAAAACTGGAGTGGGTTGCCATTTCCTTCTCTGTAATTATTGCTAGTCTATCAGATTGTTTTTAAACAATTGTTTTAAAACTTGTTTAAAATTGTTGAATCACTACAATTCCTGCTCTTTCTGAAAACTGACATTTATTAAACATGCAGTTTTCCCATGTTCCTTAGTTATTTGTAATTTCAGGGATTTCACCTAAGTCAGAGGAATACAGAGATCAATCTCTACTGGTCTTAACACTGGAAAAGATGGTGCTTACTGTTTGCAGTATCTAGAGACTATTAACTGAATCCATGCAGACCAAAGAAATAAAAAATGTGAATAGGCTTTTTGTAAAAAAAAAAAAAAAAAAGTCCAGTTATTTACCTATAACTTGGCTTCCCAGGAGGCTCAGTGGGTAAAGAATCCACCTGCAAGGCAGGAAACACAGGAGACATGGGTTCGATCCTGGGGTCAGGAAGATCCTCTGGAGTAGGAAATGGCAACCCACTCCAGTATTTCTGCCTGGAGAATCCCATAGACAGAGGAGCCTGGTGGGCTACAGTCCATGGGGTCACAGAGAGTTGGACACGACTGAAGCAACTCAGCATGCAGACACCAGAGGTCAGTGATAATAATGTGATGGGAACAAAGGAGGAGATAGTGAGGCTTCTCCACCTGGAGTACAACTGGCAAGGGACCCCATCCACCTTTGCTTGTCATAAATAGTTCAACATATATTTCTAATCTTGTAGAGCAATGAGATTAAAGCCTTCATGTGACCGTTAACACTTTGCCTTAAGAATTTAACTTCTTAAAATATAATTTCAAAAAGGGCTTAGAGCATCTATTGAGTTGATTAAAAAGGTTTATTTTATATACTTGTATGGATTGCCATTTCGTGAACATGATATATTATTTAGAAAAGGGCAAAAACCAAAATAAACTAGAAACCTCCTAACAGATATCTAATATAACACCCCCAAAATAACCACCCCCAAAAGGACTAAGAGGAAAGTAAAATTAGGGTGTCAGACAAGACAGTGTCAAAGAGCTGTTCAAAAAAATAAATAATTCAGGCAATTGGTTGGTGGGGTTATGTAATTATTAACAACCAATTTAATTACTTCCATGCCACATTAATATACCATGATCTGGTTATCGAAAGATAGAAGAAATACAGTCTATGAAACTACTCTGGATTGCTTATTGTAGATCTAAATGGAAAACCCAGATTTCATCCTGAGTGTGAAAAAGCAGCATGCGTAAATGTACTTCAGCAGAAAATGTCACTGTTTTCCTCACAGTGAGAATTGCAGCCATCCTCCCAGCGTGAAGCTACATCTTCTCACTCTACTATATTCAGAATTTGTACAATTCTGATAGAGTTGAAACTAATGTGTACACTTTATGTTGACTCAGCATAAGGAACTTCTTCCAGAGATGGTGAAAACTGAGAGTTTAAACAACCAAAACGAACAACTAGACAGACGTATTTTTAAAGTGCCCCTCTACATTGTCAGAGCTGTGAAGATGATGAGAGGAGCCTGTCGCCTCTTGGATGTCAAGACTGACTGCGCTGTGTGCTTCCCAGAGAAAGGAGTCACGTCACCGAGTTCAGACTGAGGTTTTCATACATTTATTACCACAAGTTTCCTGAGGAGTTCAACGAGGCAATGCTGTTAACCTAGCTTGCTTAAGATGTTCAAAACTGCAATAACATGTAAACATCTTGAAAATATTCTAAAGCCACATTATGCTCTGAATGTCCTAATTAGGGCAAATTATTAAGATTTTTAGAAACAATAATCTAAAACATAAAAAATTTAGTTTGGGTTAAAACACAGTTCTCAGAAGGACCATAACCTATGATGCCTTTTGACTGGATAGTAAATAAAATATACAGAGCACTAGAAGCGACCCTTGGCGGTTCTGACCCATACTAACGTCATATATCTTGCCAGAATAAACTCTATTTTTAAAAGTGCTCTGCACACTGTGCAATTAGAGGGGTTAGTACTTTTTTCAGATATATATTCAATGACATATTGCTGAAGCTGGCTTCTTCTGGAATTTGAAGTAATTTCACATACTGAATAAGAATATTTTTACCATATTATGAAATATTGCTTCATCAAATGAGATTCCAAGAACCCCTGTCCTTCTCTGAACTGCTAATGTTCATTATTTGACAGGGTTGGGTGATGTTTGCCTACCTAAGCATTCAGCAAAAATCTTACACAGCTAGCTAGGAGAGAAAAGACTCTTCAGAGAGTCAAAATGTTGATGAGAAACAAAGAAATGAAAGAGGCAGAAATGACAGTTTGGTAAAATGGCAATTCTGGCATAAATATCTGAGAGTCACTGTGGACCACAAGTTGAATACGAATATGCAAAACAGGGGACTTCCCTGGCAGTCCAGTGGTTAAGACTTCACTTTCCAATGCAGGGGCTGCAGGTTTGAGCCCTAGTTGAGAACTAAGATTTCACATGCCTCTTGGCCAACCATGCCCCCCAACCAAAAACATAAAACAGAAGCAGTGTTGTAACAAATTCAATAAAGACTTTAACAAATGGTGCCCATCAGAAAAAGACTTTAGAAAATATGCAAAACAAAAATGCCATCTTAGGATGTGCTAAAAAGAATACAACAGACAGATCTGTTGTGGTTCTGTACCATGAAGACTGTTTTTTTGCCAAAGCTCTGCACAGTCCCAGGATGGCGTAAGAGCAGTGGTTAAACACAGCCAGATAGTTCTATTTTTCAGTGGAACAGAAAGATCTCCTTAGCCTGGAGTTCTGCCTTTAAAATTGTGGGCAGAGTTCAGAAGGTAAGGGATTTGGAAAAGGGGGAGGGCAGTTTGTGTCATGCATTAAGGCAGCCTTTCAAACACAAGAACCCAAATTCAGCAGCAAATGTTTGGTGAACCTCAAGCACCCCACCCCACCCCCGCCTCAGTTTATGGGTGGGGAGTAAAAGATAGTTTTCATTCTTTGTTTCTTTCCTGGAATAAAATATTGGGTGCTGTGGAAGAGCTGAGGAGTCCTAATTTGCTAGATTGCTTTAAAGGTCAGAATTGGAAAATTAAGGATTAAATGGAGATTGATTTTACGTGAGTGGGAGTGATAAATAGGCCCTTCTGATTTTGTGCCGTCACTTCTAGCAGGAGGATGTCAACAAATACCACGGAGAATGTCATCTCTGACGGACGGGTGTTGGTGTCGAGCACGTCAGACCCGCGCCGGGGGCAGGAGATGTCCTGAGTGTGGGGAGAGGCCGCGCCACCCGCACAGAGGGAGCCCGATGCTGTTCTGTTTGTTCCAGCTGACCTTAAAGATCTCCGGGACACAGAAGGTGATAGAAGAAGCCCAGCTGCTCCCATCTACCCACACATCACACACCAGGGAGGTGTGGCGAGGACAGGAAGAGCCGTGGGGAAGTGGAAATAAGCAGCTGATTTTAGCTGAGAGGAAAACAGTTGATCTTTCATGGAAAATTCCCATTTCTCTGTCACCTGGCCAACTTACGGTCCACACGTCACCAAATAGCCTCCCTTTGACTGTGTATCTCACCCTGCGTCTCACAGCAGGCAGGAACAAGCTTACCACCCGCCTGGGACGGCATGCACATTGGAACACTTGCTTTGTTTGCTGTCTTTTCCATGACATAACTCACCTTGAGCAAAGTTCCTGCTGAACGTAACTGACCTATCAGAGGATTTGACTAATCAGGAGAAATTATCCAGCTATTTAGGTTGTAAGGTGACCCAAGGTGACCCAGAAGGAAACCAGAGATAAGACAGTGTCCAGTTTTGTACTCGAAGGAATGAAGCAGAAAGGTAACAGGGACTCAGCATGGCCAGAGTGGGGGTCCAGTCACTCAGAGGTCAGCCGAGCGGAGGGAGCACCCCGTGATGAGCCCTGACCGCACCTCGAGGCTCCTCCAGCGATGAGTGGCATCCAGGCCTTTCCCAGCACTTCTCAATCAAGCATTCTTCCAAGTAAAGGTGATGCGTTGGGCGTCGGAAGAGTGGGCGTTGGAAGCGACAGCAAAAGGTTCTTGTGTTTACATTGATTTGAAGTTAATTAAATTCGGATCCTCTTCATCCTCTGTTGGCAGGCCCCGCGGGCTTCCTCCGGGGCTGCTTCTCTTGGAAAGCTTTAGCACATTCAGTTTCAGGATTCATTGTCACTGTAAAAAACAGAACAACAGTGTATTTCCAAGAAGTTCCCGAGAGCTGGTCACTCAGCTATGGAGGTGATCAGGAGAGTATAAACAGTCAGGGAGCCAACGGTGTCCAGATTACAATTTCCCAAACAAAGGTCGGTTTGGATTTTACATTTGAACCCTGAGGAGGAAATCTAGAAAAGCCAAGACATAATCCCTAGCTCTTGCAGTAATATCCCTCCCCAGGGCTGACACAGAGAGAACCAGATGGAGCTGGGGTTCCCCCTTTAATTAAATCTAATCCCATTTCTATGAATAGATGCCAAACTGCCTTTTTCTTCCTTTAGAAAAAAAAAATTTCCATGTGTTATTTTCTCCCAGAGCTTGTGGTCCTGGCATGGTTTCAAAAGCCCGTTTTGTGCACATCCACAGAGGATCTGGAGGGGCCTTCTCGGCGCCGTTTAGAATTCAATCACCAGGCATCTCGGGGCGTGAGGAGACATAAGCTATGGACGTGGTATCTGCACATGGCCGAACCGGCAGGCTCATTTCTGCTCGTGTTTCTAACGGGGCCACCTTGGCCACACGTCTGGCTCTGCGGCTCTTTCCCTGTGAGACCACGCTTCTACCCAAGTCTCCTGGAAAGCAGACCATTCGACCTCCTCACTCCCTTCTTTTTTTGACTTTTGAGTCCCTTCAACCAAATCCTAGCATGTCTCTACTTAAAGTGACCTGTGTCTGAATGATGATATCAGGGTCCAGTGTCACCTTTGCTCAGAGGCGTGGGAGGCTGCGACAGATCGTGCTCTCCAGACTCCAACTTCAGTGCTCACCTGTTCAATGCTCACCAGGTGTTTCCAAAGGGTCAGTGGAGCAACTTGATAGATGATAGACAGATAGATGGATAGGTACACAGATCTAACCAAGAAAGGGAAGGGGAGACGTGTCTACTTGTGTCTGGGTCTGTGTAGTGAAGGCAGGGAGGAAGCTTGTGACCAGGAGGTCTGATCAATGGGAAAGAAGGGGCGAGGCAGACATGAAGAAAAGGACAACTTCTGTAGCAAACCTTATTTCATGGAAACCTGATTGAAAATGAAGACATTCTTTATCTGAAGAGCAGGCCTAACAACCCATTTCACAAGTCACCCTGCACACCTCTTAAACGAGGCAAGGAGACTTCATTTCTTGGAAATTGGGTGGGAGCAAGATAATATTTCTAAGATCCAGGAGTTCATCTCTACAGAGCATAAGTCTCTGAATTGCATGTTTTTCTTTCGTGGCCTTATCTTGACATCCCAGCTACTCTAGGCAGACCCAAACACAAGGCTTACAGCAAAAGGCACAATCCCTCCTTTGTCCACAAGGCTGATCTGTGTCCAGCAGTTACAGGAAAAGTGATTTTTGAAATTAATTATATTATTGTAACTAATATATTACTATAAAACCAATCCATATTCACTGTTGAAAATAGAAAACACAAATAAGCAATATAAAAGTACTAACAATCTCACTGCAGTTAACATTTTGGTGTTTACTTTTCAAAATTTTTTTCTGTGATAATGATATATATATATTCTTGTACAAAAATGGAATCATATTATGCATATTGAAATATAATCTGCTTTTTTCACTCTCATTCATCTATAGACCTCTTTCCTGGCTAATGAATATGCCATATCTTTTAGTGACTACAGAGCACACCATTGTCTCACTAGATTAAAAAAAAATTAGGCATATCCTTATTGTTAAACATTTAAGCTATTTCCAATTTTTAGTTTTCATTTATTATAAAAATTGCTACATCTTTGCATGCTTCCAGTTGTTAGCTTTGCATAAATATCTAAGAGGAGTTACTAGGTTAAAATGTATGCAATTTTAAAGCTTAGCCAGTCCACTGTGACCCCCCCCCTTCCCTAAAAATTTACCTTCTCCTGACACTTTCCTTTAGGGAAATATCCTTTCCCCAACATTCTCTCTAATATTATTATTTTCAGTTTTTGTAAACTTAATAGGTGAAAATAATATAATATTTACCTTAATGTCCTCTTCTGATACTTTTTGTGTTACTAGGAAGACTAAAGATTTTTTCAAGGCTCTGTTGGTAATTTTAACTTCTTCTTCTGCCAAATTGCTTATTACCATTCTTTGCTCATATGGGACAATTGCCTTCTTATTGATTTATGTATTAGCAACAGCAGTCATTTTTCTTCATCGCACATACTGCACATGCTTTCCCCTAGTTTGTCATTTTCCTCCTACTTTTATTTATTGTGCTTTTTAGAAATTTTTCAAAAAGTAATCTTTATGATTTTTAAAAAGACTGGCTACAGAAATAAAGAGCATTGAGCATAACTGTTTATCTTAAAGTAATGTCATTCAAAGAGCCAGGAAATTTTAAGTATGTTAAATTCTCTTCTTGCAATTTTGACACATTTATTTGTGTTTTTTGAAGTACAGAAAATTTGAGTTTTTAATGTAGTTAAGTGTATTCTTTTCTGATGCAGTTTCTGACTTTTCAGCCAGTCCTTGCTTAACAATTATAATAATATTTATCTATAATTTTTCTGAATTTTTCCTTTCTTTTTCACATTTAAACTTATCTGGAGTCTATTCTAATCTAAAGTGTGAGTTCTAAATTTTCCCTCCAAATGTTAGTCAGTTGTCTTAAGATTAGTTATTGAATACTCCACTTGCTATGATTTGTTACTTTTAGAGTATATTAAATGTTTACATATACCAGAGGCTGTTTTGAATATTCTATTCCACTAAAACTTATTTAGCTCTGAGTGTACACAGTTTTAATTATTGGACATTTTCCCTGCAAATCCACCCACCTATACAGGATTGTTCTTTTTCCTTCTTTTAGAGTTACCCTGGCTATTTGTGCCCAAGTATCCTTCCAGATGAAATGCCCATTGGGCTCTTTAAGACACTAAGTTGAATCTAAATGCAGATTTTTAAAATGTTGAGTCTTTCATTCGGACACAGTATGTGTCTATTTGTTTAAATCTTTTATGTTTCTCCATAAAAATCTGAACACTTTCTCTTTCTGGTACCCCATACATCTTTTGATTAAGCTTTTGCCTGGGGATTCCTCTTCGTGGGCCTCTTTCCTGGTTGAGCCAATGCTGGCACGTGCTCACGGGGCTTTTTGTGCACAGGGTCAGGTGACCAGAGCTTGACTCAGGGCTCAGCCACTTCCTTGGCTCTGTGACCTTGGGCAAACAAACATTCCTCAGCTCAAATGTTCTGTTCTCATCTTGTCTGCAAAACATACCTAATAATACCATGTACCTTAGTGGGGTACTGGAAAAAAATCAATGAGGAAAAGTAAGTAAAGCTCAATACCAAGGGCCTGACCTCCAGACACAGGAACCTATGCTCTGATGGTGAAGATTCTACACTAGTGAACGTTCGTCCATCAAACCTGACCTTGAACGTTGTCTCACATATCCAAAGGCTTTAAGAAACTATCTTCCAAAACAAATACAATTTCTTTTTTAAAAAAATAATTTTATCTTATTTATTTTGGGTGTTGTGGGCCTTCACTGCTGTTTTCTCTAACTGTGGCGAGCAGGGGCTCCTCCCCAGCTGCAGGCCATGGGCTTCTCACTGCCGTGGCTCCTCTTGTTGGAGAGCATGGGCTGAAGGGCACAAGGGTTTCCACATGCGGCGCTCGGGGTTAGTCATTATGGCTCACAAGCTCCAGAGCAGAGGCTCAGTAAATCAGTTGCGGCACACTGCTTTAGTTGCTTTGCGGCATGTGGGGTCTTCCCAGACCAGGATTCGAACCTGTGTCTCCTGCATTGACAAGAAGGTTCTTTACCACTGAGCCACCAAGGAAGCCCCCAAACTTGCAATTTCTGAAGAGAATGTACTTCACCGTGGTTTCTTCAGAACATGCTACAAGGATCATGAAGGCTTAGCATGTGAGAGTGTCTACCAACCAGAACACTTTCATTTAAAGCATCAGAGAGCACAAGACTCCATGCATGATATTTACATGTGGAGCTCACGTGCTTATGGATCTGAGCATTGTGACAGCGTCCCAGGCTCGCCACACCAGATACAGTCCCAGTGGGGATACAAGTTGCTTCAGCTGCGGGGCATCAGGTCATTCCTAGGGTCACAGCTCTCACACGGGATGGCTGCAGGTGCTGTGAGGGCCATCAGGCCTGTTAGCGCCTCAGCAACCCAGACCTGGCCCCCACCCACACCCGAGCCTGGAGGCATTATTCTCTCTCCTGCTCATTCCTTTAAATGTGTTCCCTGCTGTCTTTGTGGCTATTTATCATCTCTGTGAAATGATCGAATCAGCCCAGGCGTTTTCAGTTCTGGCAAATCCTAGAGTTCCCTGTTAAAAATATCTTGGCAGACTGCCACAGAATTGCAACAAACAAAACCAGCGATCCTGCTTCAAACCTCTATTGCTTGCCTTGATGGTAATTCGTATGGTTTTAGTCACTTATCTGTGACAGTGGCATGAGTGAGTGATTTTTCTCGGAGTGTTAGATAGGTATTTTAAGAATGTGGGACAGCTTTCCCCAAGGCTGTATAGTAACAGGCCTCCAAACTTTAAAAACCAATTGAACTGATTGAAAAGCATCATCTGGTGATTTTTAAGAAAGTATTTAATGGAACGCCACCAGTCAAATGAGGAAGCGCAATTCTGACACCTTGTTTCCTAACTGTCCCTTCGTTGCAGTCAGGATCTGTTAAGCCATCTCTGCCCTTCTGACCAATTTATCTTGTAACAGTCCCTCTTTCTGACAGCAGCCAATGTTCTGTCTTCCAAGATGCAATAAACCTATGCTAAACCTTTCTCTAGTTATGATGCTCTCTCACTTGGCTTTGAGGGAGTGCAGAGTTCAATTTAGCACGAAATCATGTTAACAGTTAGCTCATGCTCTCTTACTTTTCATCAGTAGCACGTCCCTTCTCCTTCCCGTAAGAGGCCTGGCCCGGGTGGAATTATAGAGACACGCATCTGGCTGACATCAGAGCCAGACCTAGAACTGGTCCAAGACACATAGATCATGTCCACAGTGTAGACACAATCTGGGCCACTGTTCAAGCAAGGCTGTGGTTGATTGGATTTAGCACATCTCCTCTCACCCCGCGCACACACGTATGAGACGCACACAGACCCGCAGGTCAGCCATTTCACTGGAGGTTGGCATGCTGCAGGATTATAAACTGCTACTTTGTACCCCTCATGATACTGAGCTTGGATTTGAGGGAAATCAGTTGGTGCTTAATATACTTAATGTGTAATACTTGTTGATTTTTAAATGACTTTTGGGACTAGAGAGAAAAAGAGGGAAGAAACCCATAAAGTAATTGGAAGTGGCCACAGAGATTTACTGCAGTGGAGAGCCCAAAAGAGTTCACACAAAACTGCTGCTTTCTGGCAATTCATGGTTCAGTCTTGTCAATGACCACACTGCATGATGGACTCATTGGCCACCAAAGACTTTCATAGATCAGTCTCATGGTGGCTGGCTTTCTTGCTGCTAAAGGTTCTTTTAAAAAAAACTCTAATGTGTCTTTTCATTTTTGGAATATCTCTTTTGTTTTACTAATTAATCAAAGAAAATGAAAATGCAACTTTCAAAGAAATTCTTCTCTAGATAGTGCTTCATCATAAACTTGCTGTGTAAACTACTTCTCTGAGATTATTCACTTAAGCTTACAGAGACAGAAACACCAAGCTTTCAGGAAATTGTCTGGTTACAAAGGCCTCGGGAAGAAGGAAGAGGCTGCCCAGACTAAAAGCACCAGGATGAAAGGAATTCTATCTTGCTTCTGCCACTATCCAAGGTATCCGAAAAGGTATGGTAAGGGTGGGGGTAGACAATAAGGGAGTGAATTCTTTACAGAGAGTTTAAACAATAATAAAACCAACTCAGTGGATCTCTTTCTGTTTTTACCATGCACTGACAACGTTGGACAATGTCAGGGATGAAATTCTCTTCAACTCCAGCACAGACCTCTGCTCAGCCCTGCCCACCCCTTGGACACTGTTCCACTGATGCTGTTCCCAGTTCCTCAGACATGGCCTGGCACATAACAAGTATGAACTACAGGAGAACATGCTAAGGTGGGAAATAAGGATCTAGAATCCTCCTTCTCCCAAAATTCCTTTGCTGTCTTTACCCATTGATTTTTTTTGAAAACATGAAAGCCATACTGCAAAATTCCCATTGTACTTTGTACATCTCTCGCCCTTACCAAAATCCTGTGCTAATTTTTAGATTCCACAGCTCAAAGAAAATGTCCACTCAGTGAGGATAAGGCAATAATGGGAAAAGTTCTGGAAGACCTCAGATTATAGACCCAAACAAAAGAAGGTTGAAGGGTTGAAGTCTTTGATGCACAACACAGAGGATGAAGTGTAGGTTGGTGACCAGATCAACTCCTCTTTCCCAGGAGCACAGTGGACTTTATGGATAACAGAGGCTCTGTGTCAGGGTGTCTCCCTAGCATCAAGTAAATGGACTCCAGAAGTCTTAGTTGCTCATCCTCCTGCTAATCTAAGCAGGATGGAAAAGTGTGCTTTCCATCGCTTTTTCCATCTGTAACTTCAATCTCCAGTGACTTCTATGTACAGCAAATCCCCTACATACAAAGCTTCAAGATGCAAACTTTCAAAGATGTGAGCACACATTCGAATGTCTAATCACATAATTAGTTCACATATCTGGTGCATACTGTCAAATATGTGCAACCTCTCCAGGAGGCTGTGCTCTTGTGCACGTTGTTGTATAGTACCACACAGAGTACAGTGATACAGGATCCTTATGTCAAGCCTAGGATGTCAGGAAGCAAACGCAGAAGCAGTGGTATATAGGTGATAGTGTTAGTTGGGTATCTGAAGCAATAGAATCACCTGTATGTTGCTGAGATGGTAAAGAAAGAAACCACTGGGGACTTGAGGTACTGGTTGTCAGAAGAGGCTAACTGTAAGAAAGGTCCCACTCTGGCGGGGGATGTCACAGTGGGGAAGGCTGTGTATCTGGGGACCGGGGTGTACGGGATTTCTCTGTACTTCTGTTCAATTTTGCTGTGAACCTAAATTTGCTCAAAACAGAAGATTAAAAAAAAAAAAAAGCTGACTGGAAGGGATGGAGAGAACAATTGCCAGAGCATAAAAGAAATCGTTTCACTTGCATGGTGCTTTGAAACTTCCAAAATGTTTTTTTCAAGATACAAAGATCGAACCTTACAAAGTTCAGGTGACTTGTCTTAGCACAAAGAACAGATGAGCATCCAAATCAGGTCTTAAAACCAGCCATCTGATTCTAAGCCCAAAGACCAATGCAGTTGCCACTATATCTCTAAAGATTCACAAGCTGTCAGAGAAAAAAGGACCTTCCTTCTGTCCTGGATTAGATATTCCAAATAAATGTTTCCTCAATTATCAATGTAATGAAGGCAATTAAAAAAAAGAGATGTAAATAAAATCATGATGGGAAAGAAAGATTATACAAACTGTGATAATCCACACTATGTACCCTTTCAGACCCTCCAAACTTCTAAAATGGCTATTCTGAAATCATCAACATGAATGGAACCTATGCTGATAGTGGATGGGGAACTTAAAAGTCTCCAGATCATTCCTAGGGAATTAAACAAATTCATGATTTCTCAGAATTGGCAAGCTCCAAAAAGAAGTCCCCAGGGAGACCAGGGGCAAAAATAATGCTTCATGTAGTGGATGAGCCTCGGCCTTGGGACACAGGCGCATTAACCCAGAAGGCAGTGAGTTTATGTACATCAGTTCTAACTTTTTAATAATAATTAAAAATAATATTAACTAAGAGCTAATTTTGTACCAAGATTTGTTCTAAGTGCTTTGTACTCTTAAGAGTTTTAGTGAATAAAAACTAAATTTGCTTTGCAATATCAAGATACCCTTTGAAGTAATCAGACAGTGTCTCCAACTCCAAAGACTGGGGACTTGCCACTTTCGGTTCTATAACTCTGGGCCTGGTTTCATCAAGAAAGAATAAAGTGATGGCCTGAGAGCTGTCTTGTGAATTAAAACAGAAAGCTCTGGACCAACAGAGGAATGTAGACATTCCCTTTAAAAACAATAATTGAGTATAAACCAGCTCTCCAAATAGGTTAAGGCTTTTTGCCTTACAGGTGAAATGTGGTAGAACTTATTTCAGAGACCAGCCTCTCAATATTTCAAGGAAGTGTGACTTCTAAAAAGTTTTTACCATCATATAATTTCTAACATTAAGCCTCTCCTATGTTGCCAATAATTTCAAAGAACAAGAGCCAGGTATATAAAAACCAATGACATTTCACATCTTTAGAGGGTGCCCATCAGAGATTCAAAAATAAGATACTTACAGGCGTTTAATGGTGATCTGAGCCCCATGCTGGACACACAAAGATGTTCATTTTAGGTAAAAATGCAAGGAAAATATTTCTTGGTAATGTGCTTTGTGATAATCTCGCTAGCATATTTTCTTTTATCTGCTTGTTAATGTCTGATAACTCATTTAAATAGGACAGACTCTTTCCTGAACCAGTGATGAGTTTTAGTATGCAAGCACCTACAGAGGGAGCAATGACTGACATCTACAATGAGATGTAGATTCTGCATCAGAGCGGAGGTTTGGCCCAGTAAGACTGTGGTGGCCTGATTTCTCAGGCAAGGTTTAGCAGAAGAAACAGAACAAGTCAGACAAACATCTGACTGCCTCAGTCACCGTCTAGTAACCAGTCTTTCCCTGCTACACGCCGGCTTCAGGAACTGCTTATGAAAAGTGACTACACTCTGGACAGAATTAAGGTGACTAGTGCAGGCCCTCTGGTTAACCTGGAGGGAGAGGGGGTGGGTATTTATGCTGCTTTGAAAATTTATTCTCATGGAAGTGTGACATCTCAGTTACGGGCTCAGTCCAGTTCGCCGCTCACTGGTCATCTGAGAGTCACCCCATCGACAATTCAGCGCCCCCGCCCCACCGAACCACAGCCCTGCTCCACAGAGTGAGTCCCTGACTTGCTGAATCATCAATCCTACTTCCTACCAGCATGTCCCAAGTCCTGACTGAGAATTCTCTGATCAAAAACACCCAAACATGGTCATTTCTATCCTCACAAAAGAGAATATAATTTAAACAAAATTGTGCAGGGCTGAAGAACATGCCTGCCCTGGTGCACTAAAATTTTCTATCGAGCAGAGCCACCTAGTGGTAGAACAGAATATGTGGGGTTTTTTTGGTTTTTTTCAGTTCAGGTCAGTTCAGTCGCTCAGTATTGTTTGACTCTTTGTGACCCCATGGACGGCAGCACGCCAGGCTTCCCTGTCCATCACTAACACCCGGAGTTACTTAGACTCGTGTCCATTGAGTCGGTGATGCCATCCAACCATCTCATCCTCTGTCGTCCCCTTCTCCTCCCGCCTTCCATCTTTCCCAGCATCAGGGTCTTTTCCAGTGAGTCAGTTCTTTGCAACAAGTGGCCAAAGTATTGGAGTTTTTTAATTCTCATTTAATTTCTCTCCCCTGGTGGCTCAGATGGTAAAGAATCCGCCTGCAATGTGGGAGACATGGGTTTGATCCCTGGGCTGGGAAGATCCCTTGAAGGAGGGAATAGCAACTCACTCCAGGATTCTAACCTGAAGAATCCCAAGGAGAGAGGAGCCGGGGGGACTCCAGTCCATGGGGTCACAAAGAGTTGGACATGACTGAGCCACTAACACCAAGAACAATCCAACCTAAGCGGGGTTTTCTTCTCTTTTGTTTGTTATATGTTCATTTTTACTCATTCTTGTTCAGTCATCCTGTTGAGATTGTCACCTCCATCTGTTTTCCTGACCAAACATCTATTCATCCAAGATAAACAAACCTACAGTTTGTTATAACCGGAAACTTTTAGAGCTAAAACAGAAGCCTACTCAACAGTGTCTTTAGAAGGGCAAGAAAACATAAGTACTGATTTATTTCTAAAGACAAAGAATCACTAAGATATTTACTTTGTATTTTTCCATTTTCCATAACTCACACTTCCATTTCTCCACAAGACACCAATGTACGCCCATGAAAATGGTCACATAAAATTTATAGGCAGAGAAGGTGAGTGAAAGTCCTCAACTGAGGCCTCCAACCCCCCTCCCCCACTCACATAGAATCCATGGTAGAAACGAGAAGTACCTTGGGTTGTTCTGGTTTGGTTCCTTTTCTTCCTCTAAAGTAGGTAAACATTCATAGTCGGCTAGGACAGAAGAAAACCAGGCTCATTATTAGTCACTGAAATTCTACTTTTTATCCACAAGACTTATGCCGTTGAACATCATATCTCTCTGATCCGTTACTTGTGCAGAAACAGCCTCACCAGGGAATTTCAGAGGTTAAAAGATTAATCATGGCAAGGCTCTTGAAATGGAAAAAGCACTAATGGTGCAGATGCAAGACTTCAGCATGTCTCTGGCCCCAGCGGCAAAGGGCACAATTCATCACTGCTTGGTTGTTCAGCCGCTGAACAACCCCCAGGGGCTCCAAAGACTAGAATCTGCACAGTTCAGGGTAGACGCTGGAATAAAACAGCTTCACCGAGCTTCTGCTGTGCCTGCAGAATGATTTCAGTTGGGAGCAAGAAGCAGGTAAAGCGGGGAACAACCGACCTTCTTAAAGCCAGAATTTTCTCCCGTTACATGTCTGCTGTTTTCAAGGGAGGGAAATCTGCTGGATCTATTTCAATGGGTCAAAACAACTCTCTTCTTTAGTTGTCAAATGGAAATGGTTTTAGTGATTGTAACAGGACCATGACTTGTATTGCAATTATCTCAGTCACAAAAAAGGAAATATACCAAAATATTGAGATTATCTCTGGGTGGTAGAAATTTTTTCTTCATTCTACCTTCTTTTTTTTTTTGCATTTTCCAAATTCTGCTGTGTATGTACATTACTTTTATAAACTAAAAGCCACAAAAGGAAACTACTTTAAGGATTATCTCAATGACTCACCCCTACGCTCAAATGCTTTACCAAGCCACTCTCCCCCCAAATTGCCCATGTTAGTTAAGTAGTTTTCATCTTTTGGAAAGTTCATCTTGATAAGCCTCTGGTACAAAAATTCTGATAACAAGTATCTGGTTTTGAGAACTCCATTGTAGATTGTTGAATCTGATAGATCCCTAGGTTGTTTTCTGTTTTTGTTTTTTAGATAAATGTTTAAAAAAAGTGGTTTGATAATATAAATAGTGGATTGTATTAACTTAACATGAGCATTAAGATAATTTATTGATTTTTTAGAGAAATTTAAAATAGAAGAAAAAAACAGCTGTCATCATATTTAAGTCCAAATATTGATTTAATGAAAAGTAAGGAATGTATGGGCTTCCTTGGTGGCTCAGTCGGTAAAGAATCTGCCTGCAATGCAGGAGACCAGGGTTCGATCCCTGGGTCTGGAAGATCTTCTGGCAAAGAAAATGGCTACCGACTCCAGTGTTCTTGCCTGGGAAATCCCACGTACAGAGGAGCCTGGTGGGCTACAGTCCATGGGGTTGCAAGAGTCGGACATGATTTAGCACTAAACCACCATCAGCAAGGAACATACACTACAATTACTGTCAGATATCAACTGGAAATTAAGTTATAGTGGGATATTCATATTACCATCTCTGCTAGCACAATCCAATAGCACTTTCTACAATGAAGGGCGTGTTCTAGATTTGCACAGTCTGATATAATAGCCATTAGCCACAGGTGGCTGCAGTGACTAAGGTATGAAGTTTTAAACTTTTATTTAGTTTTTAAAATTTTAAGTTAAATAGACATAGATGGCTAGTGCCTATTAGCACAGATCTACGTAAACTATATTTGGTAAAGTTTTACATCTATGCACACATTAAAATCACAGATCTCTAAATTCTATAATACTTCGGGTAATGCTGGATGCTAACTTTTTCCAGAGAGTTTGGTCTCAAGAGATTTCCTCACTTGAAAAAAAAAAGAGTCCATTTTCTTTTTGAAAAAGTCCATTTGAAAAAATGTGCAAAAATACAAATAAGTGGCAACAACTTATGCAATAATTAAACTATATATTTAAGGATGGTCAGGCCCCAGTTAACTCCTTGCATGTGCTGGAAGAAAGGTAGGTGGGCTCCCAGGGTCCCACGCAGGATCCAATGGCATAGTTATGAAGAGGGGGCAGACTTCCCTTAGCAGAGAGCACAGAGAAAGCCACCTTCGGTTATTCCACACCACATACCATTTCGATTCATGCTGTTCATCCACTTATCAAGCTCTTCCATTTCTATTTCCATCACAGAGGGTGTGTCTTCCTCAAAAATAGGGCTAGAGAGAGAAAGTCAAGAGCTTGTTGGAAAAACAGAACAAAACACAAAACCAACAGGTTTTGTGATGTGCTAAATTTTGTTTGAGGACAGCCTAGGCTGTTGACTATGAGGAAGGTGAACTTGATTCAGTGTCTTATGCTCCAGGGTAATCTAGGAGTTAGCTCTATTCAAGAGGACCAAACTCTAACAGGAAAAAAAGCAAAACCAAAAATAAACCTTCGTCCATTACTGATGATGGGCTGAGAGGAAGCACAGGAGAGTTGGCTCCCCCCAAGGTACTGAGATGAGTCTGAGGCTCCTCCAGGAAGCTGCCACATTTAGCATTTCAGCCTTGCTCAATTTCACTTCCCTATCTTTGGGGGTTTTTGATCAGCGCTCCAGGTCAGGAGGCTGATTGACAGGCCACTTTCACCACCTCGCCCTTCCATTTCCACGCTTTCCTGCCTGGAAGAAATGGAGCCCTGTGCTCAGAAATCCAGGGCCCTCCCTGGCTGGGGTTCAGCTCTCCCCGGGGAGGGAAGAGTTCCCAGTTAATGTAGGTAGGATTGGGGGAGGGGCCCACCTGCTCTGATCCACTGGCTGCCACCCTGCGGAGGAAGCCAGCCTAGGGACCAAACAAGCAGGGCAGAGACGACGGTGACCGCGTCCCAGGCCACCCCTCCAGGCGGAATCCGCTCTCCCCATTCCCTCCTGCCATCTCCATTTCTCTTTCTGCCCCACTCCCCACCAGGATCTTCTCACCATACAAACTCTGGGCTTCCACTAGGGTTCCCCTCCTTTAATACCAACTAAAATCTCTTTCCTGGTGATAAATTTTTTAATCAGAATAAATGAACTGAAGACCTTGAAATACACCCAGGGTCAGAATACTCAATCATCGATGCATTTGGAATTGACAGCGGTCAGAAAAAGGTTCTTTTCTGAACAGAGGACCTTCTCCCCTGTCAGATCCCCTGGCCTGTGGTGAGGTGTGGGAACTGAAGCACATTCTCTTGGGGTTAGGGAAGCAGAAGGGCCCTGCCAGGGCTGTCAAAACGAGAACTCTTGAAAATCGGGCCCTTTGATCTGCTCACCACCACCCCGCCCTCCACCAACATCCTGGTCCACCCCAAAGCTGAACTGGACATGGGTTGGGGGTGGGGGGACTTACACTTTCACGTTTTCACTTCCCAGTTCATCTAAAAGACAGAAAATATAAAAGTCATGTTAGTGTTCAGTATGTGTAAGAACATTTTATTTCCACATTAGCTGAAATCTCCTCTACAAAGAGGGGAAATGACTTCCAAGAGATTACGTCTTGAAAGGGGCTACGTTAACTTCTACGTCAATCAAGGGCAGATTGCCATTGTGAAATGAGGTCCCGTCTATGTGAAATCTTTCTTTTAGATCTCCTTGTGACACAGCAAACTGAACTCTGTGGCCCTGTCCCTTGTCACGGAGTAGGACGTGGGGCATCCCTCCCAGGCTCCCCTGGGGACCCTCCTCTCACCCCTGCTCTTTGTACGGCTGTACCCCCCACAGCCTTCTGGTCTCAATGAAACCAACCCCCTAAGACAGAAGGACCCCTGCCAGTTGATTAACCTCTCTCCCTTTCTTGTTCCCTCTGACCTCAATCCTGGGCTAACTGAACATTAATCAACCAGAGTCCAATGACTAAAATGGCTGTGTAGATGTCATCACTAAAGCACAAACTCAGGTTGTCTCTCCAGGACAAGAGAAGCTCACGGACCCCCAGCCATGGCCCGCCTGGCCAGAGAATCGTAAACCAGAGACATCCTGACTCCCAAAATCATGATTAAGAAATGTCACAGTTGATGATTACTTGCAGCCTCTTTGTTCTTCTCCTTTAAAAACACCCCAAACTCAACCACCAAGTTGGAGTGGATCTGAGACTTCTCTCCTGCCCACTTTCATGGCAACCTGTAATAAACCCTTCCTTTGCCGCAGACTCCCACTGTCAGAGCCTGGCTTCCCGTAAGGCAGACATAAGAGTCCTTTGCCCCGTTATATCAGCTTTCCTCAGGGAGGCCTCCCCCATCTCCTCTGTCTGAGACAGAGCCCATCTCTGCCAGCTCAGCTTCTCTTTGCACCTTCACAGTGTCTGCCACGTCTGCCATCAATCCGGTTCTCTGGTTAACTCTTCATTGTCTGTCTCTCCCACTAGACCGTAGCTCCCCAAAGGGCGGGATCATGTCTGCCTTGTTCATTGTGACATCCCCCCTCATCCAGCTTGCACCGTACCCGACAAACACCCCATATGAATTGAATAAACAAACAGGTCTTCATCTGGATTGTCCAACGCTAGGTTTAAATTCGTGCCCAATGTTTTGGATTTAGCATCTCATAACAGTGAAACTTCCAACAGGCTTGCTTTTGGTTGCTTTAGTTGACATGCGTCAGGTGACAGTCTGCAAAATGGCTTGGATGAGGATCAGATTCCAGATGGACATGTGGCAAGCATTAGAGCCAAGTGCCCTAGGTCGACCTCTCTTTTGCTTGGCAGGGGGACAGATGCACCCAGAGAAACGAGGCAACGATGGCCAGTGAGTGGACAGCACAGCCCCAGCGTGCCTCCTATGATGTGAAGAACCACCAAGAAGCACAGTGCCTTACAGAGATCCACTGAAGACTCAGAGGGGCGTGACTCTCAGCTATCAGAGGCCTCCTTTGTCTGGGGGGCAGAGGGGAGGCCCCAGCGAGGGAGCACAACCAGCAGACACCTGGAACTGAGCTCCTGGCAGCCAGGAGCCGCTGTAATTTCCTGTGGGTTGGCAGGCTTTCATGGCACCACTGACCCTGGGAAGCTGGGCACGGTTGCCAGTTTCACGCCATCACTGCTGCCCTTCGAGGGCAGCTGTAGCTTGTGTCCTCCCACCCTTGGGCAAGCATCTGAATCTCCCTGCAGACACCCGACTCCTCTGGCAAAGGGAGGGATGTTCACCTTATTTTTATATACATGCAGTTTTCATCTAACACTCACAGGCTCTTTCCTTAAAGGATTTTACTATAAATAAAGCTCCTGTACAACCGAACCTGCTTTACAGGTGACCCACAAAAGTGCCCCTGTTTTGTCACTACGGCCTCCCTGCTCTCCCTCTTTCTCTGCTTAATAGCCCCTTACTAATTTCTTTCAGAACAAATGGCCCCACAGCCCGACTCTTGAGGGGGTGGATTTATCTTTCTAATCTGGGTGCCTGCAGGCTTCGCTGTGAGCTGGAGCTAGACCTGCGTGCAGATGATGGAAAAGTTTAAAAACTCATTACCAAAGTGCTCCAGATGCATGAGTGCGAAGCTCCTGTAATCAGTGTTCAAACAGAGCAAAAAGCCTCCTGTGGCTTCGTCTGCCCTGCGCCTCGGCCATTACCCCTGCCCCGGCCGCCATGGCAACGCGAAAGCATCTGGGAGGGCGCCCCGGAGCAGAGCATTAAACCGGGAGGGAGACCAATTAGGCGTCCCGCAGTCAGGCCCTGCCCGCTCCACTGCACGGGCCTCTCTCTTTATTAGCAGCCACCTAGTGCCTGTGCGCCCCGAGGCGCTCACCCAGCCCCCCACCTGCCCTTGACTCCACTTTGCCTCCTACAGCCCCGCCATTTCCCGTCCTCCTCCGTCGGGTCCCACTGGACGCCCGCTCAGCCCCCGGGGCCCCCTCGCGGCTCCTCTCCCCGCGCGCCCGACGGAGCAGTGCGGGGCCGCGGGCCGGAGCGCAGCAGGAGACCGTCTCGCTTATCTGGTTTCCGCGCTCAACGCGAGTGTCTTTCTGCAGACTGAGCCGAGCCAGGTGTCCTGGAGCCACAGCCTGTTTAAAGCGCCGCTTTACTGCCAGCTGTTTCCCCTGCAGCTCTTTCCCAGAGAGGCAGCCCATCAAGACACCTAATAAATATTAAATAATAACAACTGCGGATCTAATGCCTGCGAGTCTGGGGAGAAGGGCCACTCCACATCGAGTCACTCCATAGCCTTCCCTTTTCCTGGACACGGAACAGGCGGGGCCAAAGAAACAAGGGTAATTCCCCTGCAGGTGACCTGTTCTTTCCAAAAATGTTGGCCAAATGCTCCCCAGCTGCCAAATTTCAAGACATTTCTTGGTGCAGAAGAATACATCAGGCTGCAGTCAGAAAGGAAAGAGACAATGTGTCTATGCCTAACAGAGACATCCGCTATGACCTGCCACCAAACAGTGCTTTGACCCAGTGGGACAGTTTTATTTTTCCTGGAAAGATAAATAAAAAATACATTTAAATCAAATTCTGTTCATTTAAATAGTCTCCTTTTACTGCCTTGTATTATAATGTTAAATATGAATGGGTAGATTTTGGTGGGCAATGTTAGTGAAATTTTTAGCTGTCTGAAAAGAGAGTCATCGTTAACCACCTGTATCTATGTTAAAGGAATGGTGAGTAAAAGAAAATATTCAAATACAGCTCTCTTGACCTAGAACTTTGGTGATAAGCAACAGCTTTGAAATTCTAAGATTTCCATTTGTGGTTTCTTAAGGGGAGGCACATTTAAAGTAAAAACAAGGTGCCAATTTGTGTTAAGAATAATGTGCAAATTTACTTTTACCTCTGACAATGTGTTCTCTAAAAAAAAGTTTTCACATTCTTTCATCAACTCATCTCTGCAATACACATTTATTGAGCAGCTAGTAATGTGTTGGGCAAGGCACTCTGAGAGATAAAGGGGTGAAAATAATTAGTTTCCACTTACAATATGCCGGGTACTGTTTTTTTTCTAAGTGCTTTACATAGATGAATCCACTTAATTCTCCCAACAACTCTATGATACTCTATGATACAACAACTCTATGATACTGAGTTCTGCCCGTTTAACAGATGAGGGAACTGAACCAGAGGTTATAAAACTAGGAAAGAGAAAAGCCAATGAAGTCGAGTATTCCAGAATCTGTCCCTATAACCTTCCTGCCACACTATTCCACAAGATGAATAAGACAAGTTCCTGATTCTTTTGGACCTTAAAGAGAACATCTCCTAGTAAGAAAGAGAGACCCAAAAAAAGGCAAGTCACCAACTGATGACAGGATTCACGACTGTGCACAGTAAGTGTGAACACAGTCGAGAGGTGGTGATTAATTTTGCCTGGGGTCTGATTACTCAGCTCTTCATAAAAACCTAAGAACTGCAAGTTGTAGAATGGGGTGGCAGTCTGCCAAGCAGCCAAGAAGGAAATTCCAGACAGAAGACGCAGCATTAACCAGGTACGGAGGCCTTCGGAAGGGAACAGCACACACGCCTGGACCCTGTCCGAGGTCAGTGCTCACTGGGGAGCAGCTTCTGAGTCTTGAGAGTCTCGAAATGGAGTTCAGTGAAAAAGCCCTTTCTGGATCTAGTGCCTTAGAGCATGATCATTTGACTAGTCAACCCCAAACTCTCCCGACCCCAGGACTCTGCTAGGTAAGACCAGCAGTAGCCTATGGTTTGGGCAGGAAACTCTACTTTCCCTACTCTATTTTTTGTTTTGTTTTTATTTGGCTGTGCTGGGTCTTAGTTACAGCGTGGGGCTCTAATTCCCTGACCAGGGATCGAACCAGGGCCCCGTGCGTTGAGAGCATGGAGTCTTAGCCACTGGACTTTGCCAAAAAAAAGATCCAGGCATCTCTGTTTGCCTTTTCTTTTCCTCTGGCTTACAAAAGAGCTCCCACGTGATCGCTGTTATTAGGTCACCCTGAAATTGCAAGCAGTGGAGAAACGTGTAATTCCTACTTTCTTGGAATCTATTACACCAGCCCTCGCCATGAAAGGTAATGCACTTCAGTGCTTCCTTCCCAGTTCACGTTTGTCCTGCTGCTGCTGCTGCTGCTAAGTCACCTGCTGGCATAAGGGAAAATGACCATTTACAGCTCTGCAAGAGCTTAAAGCTTCTCCTGGTACAAGGATAGTGTAGGGACCCACAAGCCTAAGGCATGCCCTCAAAGCCCAGGGTCCCCTGTTAGTGGATGTGAAAGACAAAAAGTGAGTTTTGTATGCACATATAAATATATATCTTATCACTCTTGAGTGATTTTTGGAATGCCTAAAGGCTTCAACTTGAAAATCTAATAGGAGTCAATTTTATCAGCATAAGCAAAAAGAATCCAAGTTGGCTTTGGACCCAGAACCATCCCCAAACCTTGTATTTGATAGTCCTGGCATTAGAAGTGAATCCTCTCAGAGTGTATCACTGACCCAGGGAATGATCTATGAGATTGGTTTACTACTGATGGTTTACTATTTTACTATTGGTTTACTATTTACATCTTTAGCTGCTTAGGAATTTCATTTTAAAAGTTAGCATAGCTTTCATAGGAATAAGAATTATGCTTATACCCAGGCCTTTTCAGGATCAAATGGGTGTGTGGCATGGTGGAGAAAACAGCACCTATGACAATCACAGATGGAAGAATCCTCTTCTCGTGGGGATGATTCAAGGACTCCAGCCTCGCGGCCATGCCCCAATCTAACCCACGGCTTCACCAGCCCGACTGTCTCCTCCAAAGGTCAGAAAGTGTTACACTGACCAGTTCAGTTCAGTCGCTCAGTCGTGTCCGACTCTTTAAGACCCCATGGACTGCAGCACCCCAGGCCTCCCTGTCCATCACCAACTCCTGGAGTTTATGCAAACTCATGTCTATTAAGTCCGTGATGCCATCCAACCATCTCATCCTCTGCAGTCCCCTTCTCCTCCCACCTTCAATCTTGCCCAGCATCAGGGTCCTTTCCAATGAGTCAGTTCTTTGCATCAAGTTGCCAAAGTACTAGAGTTTCAGTTTCAGCATTAGTCCTTCCAATGAATATTCAGGACTGATGTCCTTTAGGATTGACAGGTTGGATCTCCATGCAGTCCAAGGGACTCTCAAGAGTCTTCTCCAACACCACTGTTCAAAACCATCAATTCTTTGGTGCTCAGCTTTCTTTATAGTCCAACTGTTATATCTGTACATGACTACTGGAAAAACCATCACTTTGACTAGAAGGACCTTTGTTAGTAAAGTAATGACTCTGCTTTTTAATATGCTGTCTAGGTTAGTCATAACTTTCCTTCCAAGAAGCAAGCATCTTTTAATTTCATGGCTGCAGTCACCATCTGCAATGATTTTGGAGCCCCCAAAATAAAGTCTTTCCCTGTTTCCATTGTTTCCCCATATATTTGCCATGAAGTGATGGGACCAGATGCCATAATGTTAGTTTTCTGAATGTTGAG